TAGCTAGCCAATGGGCGCGCGGGGCCGCGCCTCCCCCCCGGCGGCGCAACCTACCCGGTCACTTCCGGTTTTAAAGTTACCTTGAGCCGGGGGTGCGGGCTGGGCCCCCTCCCGCCGGGAAATAACCGGTTATGGGATTTTATACAGAGCGGGAAGAGCTAAAACACACCCTGCGAAGCACCAGTCCCGCGGATTCAATGCGTTCGGGTCAGAGAGGAAGGAGAGATCGATTTAAAAACGGACCTTCCCGGTGATTTATTAAATAGAACGGGTTAAAATGAGTTTTTATAAATAATACCCCTGTTCGGCAGCGCTTTGTTCTCTCCCGGCCTCACTCCTCAGATAAAGCCAGGGCCTCCCGAGCGCACCCGAGGGCGAGCGCAGGTGCGGCGGGAGCAGCCTGGTCTGAAACCTCCCCTCGCTGCCGGGTCTCCGCAGGGCAGGGGACACCCGCCGCCCCGGGGCGCCAAGGGTGGCTGCCGGCCCCGAGACCTGACTGCCGTGGGGCGAGAGGAGAAGTGAACCACACACTCGAAGGTGCGAGGGAGGGGAGCTGAAGCTTTGCCTCTAATTGCCCGCACGCAGCCAGCCATCCCCCCAGAGTGGTTATTCACAAGTACCTGGAGACACCTCCCCCAACAAGTGTCTCCAAAGAGTCCCGCTCCAGAAGCCGCCAGCACCATCGGCTTTTTCTTTTTGCCTTCTGTGAGCAAAACCCTGCCAGAGCTCCGGGCTCTGGAGCTGGACACGGCTCATGGAGCAGGAGCTGGCCCTGCCACCGAGGAGCCGGCCCCGCGCCCCCCCCTCGGCCCCCAACACCCCACGATGTGGCCAAAGGACGAACCGACCCCCCTCGCACCCAGCCCGGCCAGAAAGAACTCACTGCCCCCCACGCTGCCGTTACCGCACGGCACTGCACCGTCCGCCGGGGGGCATTTCTTTCATTGCCTTGCCTCGGGAAAAAGCCCAGCCTGGGCAGACCGCGTTCACAGGCGGGTATTTTGACAGCTCTCAGCGCCCCTGCCTTTCCAGCACAGATTAAACGATCCCCCGGGGATTTACCGGAGACCCGCAACTCATCTCCCACCGCCTCGCCCCGCGTCCCGCCCCTGCCTCTCCCCCCAGGAGCGGGGGCAGACCCTGCAGAAGCCTCCTTAGGGCTTGTGGAGCCAAAAAAATCCCAGAGATGGGTCAAACACGGCACCGCCAGGATGTGAAACCCAACTGCCTCGCAGCAAACCCCCTCGTCGACAGAACGGGCCTGTCGCCGCCGCCGCCGCCTGCCCGGGAAGGCCCCGGGAAGGCCTCCGCGCCCTGCGCAGCCCACCGCCCGACAAGCAGCGCCCGCCCCGAGCGCTGCCCGCGGGTCTCGGCGCCCCAGCAGCCCCAGGCCCGCACAGGCCTCGCTCC